ACGCAAAGCCGCGGCGGTCTATAAAAGCCCCCCGGGTAGGGAGGGGGTAGCAGCGGAGCGTAGGGGTAGAGGACAGCGGAACCATGGCCCAGTCCGTGTGGGGCTACGACAGCGATAACGGTGAGTGGGGGCTTGGGGCCGCCGGGCGATCAAGGCTGAGTCGGGGCGACATTTCCTTACTTTCCCCCCCTAGGACCTGACCGCTGGCATGAAAACTACCCCTTGGCCAAGGGAGACAAGCAGTCGCCCATTGAGATCAACAGCAAGGATGTGCGGCACGACTCTTCTCTGGCCCCTTGGCACGCCAGTTACGATCCTGGGGCAGCGAAAACCATCCTGAACAACGGGCGCACCTGCCGAGTTGTCTTCGACGACACTTTTGATCGATCAGGTCAGTTTTTTGGCTCAGCTTTTGGAGTTTGTTAGGAATTTAGGTTTGCAAAGCACTGAGAATAAAAACACATCCTGTGGTACCTGGCCTACCCAAGTGGCAGAGAAAAGTCATTTGGGTAGGTAAAAAAGGTGCTTTTGGAGTTTATTCTGGTGGATCTGGCCATGTTTAGGTCCACCATAGGTAGAACAGGGAGGCTGTAGATGCAGGGACACCCCTAAAATAAACAGGCTCAGCTGGAAGCTGGACTTTTCTTTCCCAAGTCTCCTGCTTCAGATGTGGACACTGCATCTTCTTTTGTGTAAGAAGAGAAAGCATCACCCAGAGGAGTTTAGTGTGTGCTCTGAGGCACTTCATGAATACAAAACTCGTGTGTTGCCACCGTGATCTTGATTTCTTCTGTCTGTATGGGAAGTCTTAAGATCCTCCACAGTCTGAGAAAGCTGTGAAAATAGCATTCATGAAAACAGTTTCTGGAAAACTATGAAATGGCTTTGTTATTTACTTGAGAGAGAACACTCTCATTTCTCTAAGTTAAATTGTTCACAACTTGATTCCAGAGGTGTATCAGTGTGTAGCCCTGAGTGCAGACAGGCAACTGCCCAAATGAATAATAAATTCACAATATTGTATAATGGGAAGACATCTCAAAAGCATGCAGTATTGATCAGTCCTTTGTCAAGACGGAAATCAATCTAATTAATGGAAAACAAAGTGACTTTCTATTGTATTTTTCTGCATCTGCTTTGATGACATTTGTATTGGGGTTCTGTTCTTAGTAAGCTATGTCACTATGAAATATTTCTGCAGTACACTGAAAGATCAGTCTTTCTCTTGTTTATCTTGATGAGATCATTGTTTCCTTGGACTTCTTTATTTGCCATTACAGCTACCTGTTATTGCTCCACATCTCACAGATGGAATCTAAACTATTTAGGACAGGGACCATCTCTTTGTTACTTATCTGTATGGTGCTTCAGTATTTATTACTGCAGTTTCTACACAGTGGCCTCAGACAAATCATAAATTGTGCTTTTCTTATAACTCGGAATGCTCTTCCACAGACACTGGATAAAATCAAGGCTATGACTGAAAGCATAGGAAGTAAACTGAGTATGAGCCTTTTCACATGGAGATCCTGCTCTGCCTTCTTTGCAGTTCCCTAAAGGCTGAAATGTTCAGACAGAGGCTGCTCAAGACCGTATTTGCCCAGGGAACTGTGTTGTAGAAAGACCCTGATTTGGCCAGGAAGTGTGCAGCCCTTGGTGTAGCCCTTCCTCTAAATCATCTTCCCTCCATTCCTTCCCTGCCTCTCCCCTCCCCATTGTCTCTGTTTTTCCTCTGGACACCGGTGTGCACGTTCACTCCCTGCTGCTCTTACTGACTTGCTGCAGGCTGCTGGACAGTAGTTTAGGACTCAAGTCTTTCACAGAGATGTGTCTGTTTGGAATCAGATACAATGTTTGACAGCTCTGAAAAGCCACATGAGAAAACATTTAATAAACATTTTATTACCTTCATTTGTTGGCTTCTGCGGTGGCAGCAGCTGAGGATAAGTCACAGTCACAGATCTGATTTTAATTAGAAAAAGAAATCTAGCTTGAAGATAGCCTTTTTTAATCTAATCACATGGTAAATTTTCCATGTTGAAAGAATTTATTTTTATGCTAGAGAGTGCTGTATACTGTTATGGAGTGCTGTTTCCAAGTGCTTCACATTATTAGAGCTCTGGAAAGGTCCACCTGAAAGAAATGACTGCTAAATGAGTTTCCAAATTTGATATTGATCTAGCTTGTAAATGTAGGTAGATCACATAAATTCAGCTCCTGAAAGATCTTGCCTCCCATTGATTCCAGCATGAAATGGCAAGCAAATACTTGTGAGGATTTGGGCCTTAGAGTCTATGCCTTATATTTTCCTACATTCAAAAGTGAATTATTATTATTATTATGATTAATATTATGATTAATATTATAATAATAATAATTTTCCATTGAAGTCTTCTACAGAAGGCTTACTCAATACTGTATTGAGTTAGTTGTGACTATTTATTTATGTATGAACAAAATCAAAAAATAAGAGGAACTGCATGCCTAAAACTCAACACAGCTTTGTTTCTGCCCCTCAATGGCTGTGACACCTACCAACTAAAAAGAGAAACTGTAAAGTTAAACCTCTTTCTCTGTGTAGGTATTCTAATACATATGATATCAAGAATTAATTTGAGACCATTGGGCACAAGAGGATTTAACTATTATTTCAATGTTAACTTTGAACTTCAAAGCTATTGGTAGACATTCAAACTTGAATGCTATTTAAACAAGTGCTTCTGGCACTGCAGTTGTGAGCTGCATTATCAGCTTTCTGTGTAAGGAAACATGTCACATTCCTGCCTTAGGTAATGAATGAAAAATACATTTGAGAGCTTATCCTCTAAGCAGTCCCTGCTCAAAAGAATTCCCAAATTGAAAGAGCAGGTGTGATGTTCTGAAAGCCAGAGTTGATGTAAACCGTCAGACTGATGCATGGTCAGCATTATTTGGCTAAGAACAACAGAAATAATAGCTTCTTAGTTTGTTTCATTGGTGGCAAAGTTAAGTGTGGGCTACAGCTTTTGCTTGCTCAAGAACACTTTCCTAACTCATTTGACTGAACTTTCTTGTCTTCCCTCACTTTCAAGAAATAAATATTTTTTAATTTTTTTTTAGAAGCAACAAGCTATGCTGTAACCATTGTGTAGTTGTCTGAACTGTAAAAGGTGTGCTGGTCACAGAATAGAGGTATGCTTCAAAGCACCTCTGGGTTAATTTTGCAGTCCTATCCCCAGCCATTTCACAACAGACCATTTCTTGACAAGAATCATCTGTGAACACCTTCCTTCTCTCTCCACATCAGGAGCTATAGCATGTCCACTTGCCCAGAGAAAAGGGGCTTGTTGGGCAGATGAGGTTTGATTCTGTGCTTGACTCACAGCAGCTTCCACAGTTTCCTCATCGACCAGGGCTCTTCCTGAGTGATTGTTAACAGAGTCCAGCCCCAATCTTGTCAACTGGTGATTGTTGTGACCCCAGTTGCAACCAGCTGGATTTACAAGAGGTGCTCCACACTTTTGAAGTATGGGTCCCCATTCAGTGAATGTGCATGTCAGCGCTCTGTAGACTCGTGCTGATGCAGGTTATCAATTGCAGTGCTGAGAGGGGGGCCTCTCACCGGAGCCTACAGACTGCGTCAGCTTCACTTCCACTGGGGTTCCTCTGATGATCACGGCTCCGAGCATGTTATAGATGGGGTGAAACATGCCGCAGAGGTAGGACTTATTTTTAATAGTAGTATTCAGTACTAACTGGCATTTGACTGTTTGTGTATCTGAACAGATCAAGCGTTTTCCCTTTTGTAAGTATTTAGCTACGGATTTTTCTCATAAAATCTGTCAATGAGACTTGTGAATATTCATCAGCATGCAGTCAGATCAATTGGATCTGCCAACAAATGTATCTTTGCAAGTGTACACTAACATGCAGTTTGCTTCTTCAAGCAAGAGTGTTTGCTGGTAATTTAGAATGCTTTAAAAATATTTGGGACAAACCGCTCTGTTATTTCTGAACAGAAATATCTGTTTCCTGCTGGTTTGGGTTTTTTATTTGGCTTTTAGCCATTTCTGGTATAACTTGAATTAGTAAATTGGTTTCAGAAAGCATTACTAATGAATAGAAGAACTTGCTAAACAAACATTTGATAAACTGACATTCAAAATTAGATCCACCTTAAAACTGATTCAGAGTGGTAGAGAGTATCTTCTGATTTCTGAACATCTGTGCTTTAAAATGTCTGTGTTTATTTTTGAGAACTATGGAAAACAGATGTTTGTGTTTGTTTTTTTAATATAAACTACTGCACTATTGTTGTCCAGATTTGCTAAAATTAATGGCTGCTTTAGGCCCTGAAGGCTTCTACAGATAATAAATATAAGTGAATTCACTTTTGATGCTAGTGAATTACTAGCAAATGCTACTTCCTTCCCCCCTGAGAACAGGTTCAAAATATATGCCTACACTTAAAAAAAGTTTGCAGTAGTGTTTTTGTGTCTTCAACTTATTACTTAAGGTGCAGAGGTTACAGGGGCTCTGCCCCTGTAGGGGCAATAGGAGAAAATTCAGGCAGGTCTTTTGCAGGGTTGGTGTGCACAGACATTGCAGAGATGACTGTGGGTGATGGTTTGGGGTTTTTTTCCTATTCCTTAGCCACAGACAAACTATGCTAGTGTTCTACTTTCTGTGGCTGATTAAACAGACAAATTATGCTACCTCAAGCTATTTCTTGGTTAGTCCAAGCACAGACTTTTGTTTGCAGTACTCTTGATACTTATTAACAGGAAAAGAACAGGGCTTGGGGCAACCTGGTCTAGTGGGAGGTATCCCTGCCCATGCCAGGGGGTTGGACTTGGTAATCTTTAAGTTCTCTTCCAACCTAAACCATTCTATGATTCTATGAAATTGTGCTAGAATGCAACCAAAGATATATGGCTACTCTACCTTCATCCTTAGCAATGGCATCCTTATCCTCAAGAGAAAAGAATCAGAGATCAATTTAATTTATATTCAAGGCAAATTATTTTGTTATTTTAAATATATGTTACTGTGCTTAAAAAAATGTTTAAAATTTGCATTCAAAATACGCACCAGACTCCTATTTTTTTTTGTATGCTTCTGTGTATGCTTCCACACATTACTTGTTTTGAGATTTCACACATTACTTGTTTTGAGATTCCACACTGCTGATTGCAGCATTTGTAGCAATATGTAGGAGCCAGAGATTCTCTGGAAGGAGATGTAAAAATGTGAAATATATCCTGAATTTATAGCATTGTTGAAAGTAGAAATGAGAAGAAATGCCAGGTTACTATCTCCACTCCTTTCCAATACAATGTGCTGAGAGTAGTAAGAGATACAAAACAATGCTGCATGCACGACATACAACCCAGTGTAAATCCTTGAGCTGATACTTGCATAACCTGAAGATCTAAAAATCTACTTGAGATAAGTGCATGTCAGTAGGTGTTTTATGCACTGCATGTGTGCATGTCATGTGCTTGGGTTAAACTGTTTATAGCTGCATTGTCTGATTAATTTTTAAATGTATTGTGTGGTAAACTCCATTTACTTTATGCTTTAATTAAATGCAAAATGTTGCTTTATAGACAATGTGAGCATATGGAAGCATAGGAACTGAAATAGGAAATACGTATAATTTTCTTGTTCATGTCCATTCCTTTACTTCCTGTGTATTGGATACTTTTCTTAATTTAGTATAAAAGCTTGTAAGATTGTTCTGTTGGCAATTTCTTGCATTTATAACTGAGGTTTAATTGATTTTTAGTTACATATGGTTCACTGGAATCCAAAACATGGTAATTATGCTGGAGCTTTGAAACAACCTGATGGTGTGGCAGTTGTGGGCATTTTTCTGCAAGTAAGTGGCAAATATTCAGTCTTTATAATTTTCTGGATTTTTCACCTTTCTCCAGTGTCAGGGGAAGAGTTCCCATCATTTTTTTCCTACACTGCGTCATTTTACAGGAAAACATTCAAATTGATGCACAGCCTGAAGTCACACATGTCTTTGGGCCCTCCAGATTCCATGCACTAACACGTTCAGGGCTGACTTCTGACACCATTCGTGGCACCAGTAGCACATTCCACGGGTGGTATTGAACAAGAGACACACAGCTTCAAACCTGGGACTCTTGCTAACTTTGTCTCTGATAGCTGACCAGCTCTTTGCTGTGGTGTGCGCTCAGTGAGGTGGACAGGCTGCGTAGGAAGAGTGTTTCCTCCTGCCCCTTGTCTGTGAGCAGGTGTTGCATCTGCCTGTCAGCGAGGTTACATTGACTGATTCCCTTCCTTGATCTCTTGCTAATCCCCACGTAAGCTGGGAATCAAAAGGAGTTCAACAAATCTGCTCCAAAAAGAAAGAATTGGTGGCAAAAGAAGTTCACTGAACATTTTGACCTTGAAATACATCAGCTTCATAACAAAATAATACTGTACTGCTAGTTTCCAACTGATTTTTTCATAAACTTCAATAGAAAGAAAGCAATCCTAGTATCAAATCTGCATGTGGTCTAGGACACCTAGAAACACTATCAGGCAGTCAACCTAATAGTGATAAATTGTGCAAACTTCAGCTATGTAGCTGTCATTTTACCTGCAGGTGGGCACTTCAGCTTGAACACAGAGAACAGCTCTTGTTTTAATGCTTTATCACTAGTAAGCTGCATTTGTACAAGCTATAGCAAGTGGATGTAATTAATTTTGCCACAGTGTGGCTGGACAGGCTAGATCCAGTGTCTTTTTAATTGTATTATATTGTGAGCCAGCCTAACCTTTTTTTCTTGTGGTTAGTTTAAACTGAAAGTTACAGAAGATCAGCACCTGCCCAGATTCTTCTCTATGACTGTGTCCTTCAATTATTCTTCCTTTGTCATTTCTTTGGGTCTATTTTAGACTAAAGCTTTATGTTGTAAAACACAACTTATAAAGTATGATGTTGTGTTCCTATGAACCATGCTAAGGTCAGCTAAAAGGTCTAGAAAAGTAAGTGGTACCACTGTATCTTCTCTGGCCTTCTTTCTCTGTTTCCTTCTTGCTCTTCAGCATAGGAGCCATTGATTTGCCCTGGGTTTGTCATGTTCCATGACTGGGTTTTTAGGTATTGCTAAAATAGAGACTATCTATTTTGAAACTAGACATGACAACAACAGCATGTCATGTGCATACTATCTTCACCCTTCTGGGATGCAGAGCCATGTCTAAGCTTTTGGAGGTGCTGAACGTCATGAACACAAACAATAAAGTGACCCCATAGCTTGAGGAGGTCATAACATGAATTTAATCATAAGTCTTATATCAAGTCTGACCTGACTGCCTATGTGCTGCAGAGTGTTTGAAGTGCCTGCAGGAACTCCAGCTCTTCAGACTATCAACATTTTGCTGAGCGTTCATACATCTCACAGTGGTCGTGGGTTGCTTTCAAATGAGGAGCTGAGGGCTAGGCCCTGGAGGATGTAGATGACACTGTCTGAGCATGCAGTTTGTTCCTCAGACAGTGGGAAATGCCTTGTAGAGTCCCTCAATGCATTTTAAAATGTAAAGGCAATTACTTGAATTTGCTATTCTGGATGTTCTTTTAACAGTCATACTTTGTGTCAGTCTGTACCGGATGCTCTGAAAGTACTGCCTAACTTGACAGATGGGATGTACTGAATTTCTTTCAAATACTGTGGAATATGATGAAAAAATGTAGTACTTGTGCTTTGCATTCCAGGTTGGAAAAAATCCCAAACCAGAGATGAAGAGAATCCTTGAAGAAATTGATAACATTAAGACCAAGGTATCAAAACCTTTTTTGTGATGTGATGTAGTTGAAAAGCAGCAGAAGCAGAAATTGGAAGTTCAGACTCACTTTTTGGCATCAGTCTGATACCTAACTGAGCACAAGAGGTGATACATTGGACTGTGGAGCAAGACACTTGCTTTTAGTTAAGTAAACATAATAATTCCTCACTTCTGTAAATATTTTTGTTGTAGAGGATTTTGTATCAATTCTGGCATGCACAATTGATAGTCTTATTGATACTGCTCCGTAAAAATATGCTAGTGTGCACATACCAAGAAATTAAAAGCTTTTTTAATTTGAGGACAGCAGTGGCCAAGACAAATGCATATAATTGAGTCAGAAATTATTTAATATCATTATTTATCCTTAACCTCTGGGTATACTTTAGCCATTCTACTTGATGATAAGCTTTATCATCTTAATGATGATAAAAGAAAAGGCACTTTTTAATTTGACATTTAACATACCACCAGATCATCAGGACTGAACTTTACAAATTTTGTAAGCATTTTCTTCCAAGTTTAGTGGCATTTCCTGCATTTAATGTATGTATGTACTGATGTGCAGGTCTGAGCCTGAAATCCATTCCTCACTCAGAGTCATACTAATTTTTTTTCAGCCTTTTCTTAGTCTTCAGATACAATGCAGTTCTTTCTGCTGAAGGAACTGAAGATAATTTTTTGGCCATTTACGCAGAGAAGAGTTTTGTCACAGTTACTAAAACGTTGATCAATCACTCTAAGAATCACTGTGTCATACAGTGATGACAAGATGACAGTGATATCCACTCCATTACATTCTCTCTGAGACTGCCAAACTGGAGATTTTATGACTTCTAAAAGAAAAGGAAAAAAAAAAAGTCTGATTTCCCACATACAGATATTCTCTGTAGTGGTTCTGGAAAAAGTAACAGTTGAAAAAAAGCAGAGAAAGATATGTGTGTATGCAGACAACCACATCTCGTACTTTGTCTTACTTTCTTTCCTGTCATCACATGCATTTTACCATGATTACTTATTTTTTAGGAAAAAATTAATGGATGGTATCATTTATCACACGTGGCAGTTTCAATTGCTATGATGCATTACAGGCAGAGGAATTTCTTGGACACTGTACTGTGTTTACTGAAAAAGCACAATTTTGTTTGTGAAGTTATTTGCAAACCCATATTGAACTTACAGAATAATTTTATCAGGAAGATACATTTGGAGTCTTGATGTTATTTTTTCTACCCATATCTTGTGAAAGGATGTGTGGAAAAGATGTCAGCTCCTCCCATTGCACTTTGTAGGGTAACAGTCTGTTCCCATGTAAAGAAGATTCTGCATGGTAAGAGAAGGAATTAGGAAGAATAGATTTTGCTTTCCAGAACTGCATCCTAAATATCAGTAAAGAACTGAACTTTGTCGTTTAGTTGTTGTTGCCTGAGGGGACAAGGAAGTCTCATCACAGTCCAGTGGAGATCTTGAGTATCTTGAGTATCTTATTCGGTGGAAAAGAAAAACTTATGAGGAAATGTTGTCTGGTGTCTGCTGTTCTGCCTTGTCCGGTGATAATCACCTTTAGTTGTGAGACTTCCAGGTTCCAGCACTCTTTCAGGAAATATTTTAATTTTTTACATTAATGTAATAGTGCCAACAAAAAGATTGAGAGTGTCACCATGACAATGTAATTAGAGCTCATTTGGGAGGAGAGAGATGCAGATTTTAATTCCTTCAGATAGAGGAGAAGACTGTAACGAATCTGGGATAAATGCTTGGGCACTGCTGTATTGAATAAAAAGGGTACCAGTACCTGCAGTGCCACAGCCTTTAACTGCTATCCGAAGTGACCCAAAATAAAACAAAATTTCTGCAACTCCAGAATGTAACAATGAATTTGCCCGTACAATTCAGGTTGTAATTTCTTTTAATTTATTAACAACATCAAAATGTCAGTTGTTACTAATTGCAGGTCAAATGCTTGACAGGAAGAAAAGGAGATTGATTTCTGCCGTGAATCTTGGTATTTAATTTCTTGTTTTATAATAATACAGATGCTGACGTCTTTGAAGATGCATATCCCTAGAGTTACTGCAGATAAGTATTTTTTGTTTCTCTAAGGGGAAAGAGGCTCCTTTTCAGCACTTCGATCCTTCAATTCTTTTCCCCAAATCTCGGGACTACTGGACCTACCATGGTTCGTTCACTACACCCCCCTGTGAGGAGTGCATCACTTGGATTCTCTTGAGGGAGCCAATTGAAGTCAGCTCAGATCAGGTAAACTCCAGCTACCTCTGCTGCTCCTTTACGAGTTCTCAGCAGTGTCTGGGCCTGTCCATGTGATGATTTGCAAGCCTGATGTTACCTTGCATTTTTTGATAAGGAAAGCTTTGACTGAGGACTTAAAAGAAATGGTCTGCAGAACAGACTGTTGAAATGGACTGTAAAACCTGACTTTGAGAATCAGACTCTCTTCCTGGACACCTCCTGGAACAGCTTTAGCAGGAATTTTCTTGGGATTCTGAAAAACTTGTGTAGGTAGAAGTGCCCTTGAACCACAAAATTCAGCCATCACAGCAGCCTCGGTTCATTCTCTGTGCCTCAGCACGAAGTGGCAAGTAAGACTAACATATACCTGGTTTTCCAGTTTAAGAAATTGCTAGTCCAGGTCTTGATCTCCTAAGAGCTGTCAGTGAGAAAGATCAAACTAGCTAGACCCCACAAACCTGATTGTTACTACAAATTAATGTACTAATTGTATTCCTATAGCTCAACTATACATTGACACAGGAAAAAGAATAGAGAGCCAGTCTGAATAACGTGACCTTGTTTTTTAGTTCTTGTGTTAAAACTTGTGGTTATTTATACTACTTTCTGCTTCAGCAGTAAAAGTCATGGTATAGCCTTTTTACTAATTTGGCTATTTTCAGAACAGATTTATTTTGCATTCTGATGAAAGGATATCAATTAACAAAGCAACACTGAATTTAAATTAATTTGGAGAACAACTGTGTGCTGAATTAATGATTGAACTTAATAATCCAATTGGCATACATTTCTCTGTCCCACAGAACAAAATACGAACTCCTCCAGACCAGCTTTTTCTATCAGACTACCTTTCATAGACTTAGATGTCCATCCTCCTTCACAGGTAGCCACATTTTCACAAGTGATTTGACTGCAGTCCAGCTCCAGCAGGATTGCAGGAGGCCCATACTCTTTTTCCACATTGGGTGTGGGTCAGGGAAAAATCCAAAAGAAGCCAAAGCAAGGGTCAGATGATGTTCTGTGAATCCACACTGTTCTGTGGATGAAGAGTGCAAAGATCCACAGAAACGTTAGCTGTTGGGCCGCACTTATCTCTGCCAATAACCTCTACCAGTATGCTTGTCAGTATGCTTGTCATATAAGAAAGTTCCTTTTCTGCCTCAGAGTTTGCTTTAGGCATCAAGGTCCACACTGCTTCCAGGTGAATTCACACGGACACTAATTTTTCTTCCATGCAGATGGCGAAGCTCCGTAGCCTTTCCAAGAACGGTGAGAACGAACCTGTGAACCCACTGGTTGATAACTGGCGTCCACCTCAGCCTGTGAAGGGCAGGATAGTGAAAGCCTCGTTCAAGTGAAGTCTCAAGTCTCACTATGCTGAACCTGAGTGAGAAAATTCCTGCATCGCAAAGTGTAGTTAGTTTTTGCTGTCTACTGCTTTTCTTCTGGATCCAGATCTGTGTTTCTCAGCTTGAAATTCTGAGTGGTAAAACTGAATCTGATTTTGAAAGCAGAAAAAAATACTGTATGCAAATACTAACCTTAATAAGGAAATGTGAGATAAACGTGGTTCTTGACCACAAATGCCTCAGCATTTGTGATAGTGTCACATCTCTGCTGTGTTCTTGGAAGAAAAATGGTCTCAGTTTCAGTATTTAAAATTAATTTCAAAGGAAATTTAGTAAAGGCAGAAAAAATGAACCAGTTGTTCAGGAAAGTAAAAATAACAGTGGGTCAACAGTACATGAACAGGAGGTTAAACACCTGCTCCTACAGCATCTCTAGCAGTAATCTTCCTCAGATATCACATCTCCAGTGTGAACATCCAAGGAATAAGTTTCTCTTCACCATACCAGATTTTTCCTTCCCTCTCTTGTTCATAGTTTGTTATCTAACAACAGCGTTAGATTAGTATTCAGGGACTACAATCAGGTGTATTCAGCTTCTGTGTGTGCAGAAGAAAAGATACCCTGCTGTCGTTTCAGCGTTTGCTGTCTTTGCCATGTCCTGCTGCTGCCCATTGATCTTTTCTTCTTTCACTGCTGCTGTTACTTCTCCCATTCAGCTGCAGAGTGCTGCTGGTACCATGTTGCCTTGCATTTAGTGTGAGCAGCTTTAGGATTGCTGAGGGGGAAGTGCCTTTCTTCTGCTGCTCTATGTTACCTTCCAGAATGATAGATTTTTAATTTTGATGCTCTGCTTGTTTGGCTTGTGGTTTGTTTTTTTATTATTATTTTTGACATCTTAGTCTACATATTAATGATTTCACTTACTAGAGATTTTGTTGCATATGGAGAGGGTCTTTGTGGATGACTCATATGCGTCACTTGTCTTCACCACTACTGAAAAATCCAGGATAAGTCACCTAAATGTTTGTTTATTGTGACTCTGTGTAGTTAGAGACTCCTAGCAGAGTCTGTTTAGCTCTGTTACTTTCTGGGGAGACACATCAGCTCGCACATAGGATCCAAGCAAGGAATCATTGGCAGACAGAAACTTCTAAACCATCTTCCCCTGTCCTTCATCATGTAAACTTTATTGTTTCAGCATGCTTCCTAAACAGCATAACACAGGTACCATCTAGGTTGAACCCACATGCAGACTATGTGAGTAAAACCTGCTATGCTCTATTCACCATCAGGGTGATTATTCAGTGTTGTACATATGGGAGATGGGGCGGTCAAAGGTGGTGCATAAATGAAGCTGCTGGATCCTCTGTATTCCTCTGACTCATCAGTAGGTGGCACAGGATGTTCTTCTGGAGATGTTGCCACAAACGTTCACAGCAACGTTGGTAAGGGATATGCCAAAGTCTGGAAGAAGCGTGGTTACAAATCCCGGTTCTCCTTCACTATTTCACTTTTCACCTTTACTAGAAAAATGGTGCTCCAACAGGGGAGTAATGAGTGGGCAACTCTGGACAAATTCTGCTGTTATTACCAGCACAATTCAGTGAGAATTCAGGAATGGAACTGAGGGCAGAGTTTGATCCTTTGTATTCATTTAGAAATGTATGAAGAATTGCTGAATTCCCATTGAGAAATAATATTTCAGTTTATTAGAAGTGTATTTTGCTTAGTATTTTGATTTTTAAAACCAAACACATGTCAGCAGAAACTTTAGTATTGATTGAATCCTGTTTACAGATGTTCTGGCATTGCCTTAATCTTATCAGAAGATCAGCTTTTGATATTACAAGTGCAGCACTTACAACAGTATCGATTTTAAGAGTCTCTTGAATCTTCTTTAAACTCCTGAATCTGTATGTCTTTTCAACATATGTTTCTACAGAAAGCTCATAAGCAACATTTTATTTCTAATATACTATGTCTTATATGTAAAATTTCTTCTTGTATCCCTATGCAGTTGATATTGATGTTGAGAAAATTTCAACACGAATAACTGAGACAAGAATTTGAGTCTTCCTACCTAAAAGCCATTGACTGTGATGTTTTAATTTCTTGTTATTGAGGCAATAAAACAGGATTAGTTGCCTGCACTTGAAATAACGGCTTTAATGTCTTTGGAGAACCAATAAATTGACTTACATAAAAATTTTATCTCTGGTTTTATTTCTAATGCTGAATGATGCTTGAAAGGAACAAGAACTTAAAACCTTGCGACTCTTTTCATTGTTACCTATGCTTGTTTGTAGTACAAGAGTGGACAGACACCCCAGTAATCACCTCTTTAGCTGCTGGAGTTTAGTTTAATATCTCATCCTGGTTTCTGTGTACCAAATCAAACAGACACTCAAAAATACAAGACACCAGAACAGTATCACTTGTTTTCTGTTTTCAGGTATCAAAAAAAGCAGTTCTTTATTTCTTGCCTGAACACAAACATTCTGTTACATCTTCCCAAAATTCTACATTCATGTATGATCTTGAAAGTCACTAACCTGGATATAAATTTTGGTTTAGTGCAAGAAGCACATGGATCATTTACCTGAAATGTTACATAATTTTGAAATTTCCTGATTAATTTATACTTTTGAAGCACATAGATTAAACTTGTTAAAGTGAAATGGTATCTTAACTACCCACAAAATCAGGCACCGAGTGCGCTTTGCTTTATTTGCACATTTCCTCTACTGCTTTTGAAAGGCAGAATAGGTAGAAGTTTATCAACTACTGACAGAGTAGTTTTGGTTCCAAGAGCAAACACATGCTTTGTATGTTGGCACAAAGGAAAATACAGTCCAAAATTTATTTTATTCCCTCATGCATTTGCTCTGATTCCATTCTGTCTTCAAACTGTTACTACACAAAGCATCAACCTCATTGCAAATATGCTTCACACTTTTGTTTTTCTCTTGAAGGATAAAGCGTAGGTAGTTCTGTTCCATTGCCTTTCTCCCTTTGATGAATTGTGTAGCTTAGTGTTGATTACCTTGGTAACAAACTAAGAAAATGTTATGTGGACTCTAATCTTCTTGCCTTATCTACCTTAAATAGAGAAAAAAGTCTCTGAATACTAATGAATTTTAAAAAAAAAAGAGTAAAAATTACTATAATCAGTGTAGGGCACTAAATCCTTGACTACTTTAATGTATATAATACACCTATTAATTTCAGCAGGGCAGACAAATAACTGAAATTCATTACCAACTATTATGTTTTGACAGACACTGAAATACTCCCAGCTTCCTGCACCTCGCAAGAGCAATTACTGGAAAATTAAAAGCTTATTCCTACAGTTTCAAAGCTTTTTTATTAACTGAAACAAGTTTCCCACCAGCTGTGGCCATCTTTCAGTTGGCTCTAAGTTCATAACTAAACTGAATTCCTGGTATGACCCTTGGTATACAAGCAGCTATGTTTATGCATTTCTACTACTAAATGAAAAAAATTTATTTAGTGTATCTCAGAAGAAGACTCTCATGGATCTGCTTGCTGCTGCTTACCTGCTGAGTAATCAGAGTTAAAGAATGTTCATATTGTCAGTGAGTTTAGCAAAACAATGTTTCTTCCTAACGCATTTTGCACCATGCCTCAGCAAAGGAAGCAGCCTTACAACGTGTGTTCATCTGTCTTCCATCTCAATGAATTCTGGCATTTATCTTTGTCAGTATTGCAGCACAAAGGATGTATTGAGGAATTACTTTATTTCCAAACACAAGAATTTAATAGAACATATTATTTTCCCCCACCAAAAAAAAAAAAGAATACAGCTAATGATGAATTACTGCTCAAATGAGACTCACCTTTTCTTTAAGAACATAGTTTAAAAGTATCTTTTTTCAGTTTAGGGCTGCTGTACATGTTGATTTAAAAACATGTGCAATAAAATGAAATGGACCAGTTCAGGGTTATTTGTGAGAGACAGGCTGTAATTTTTTGTGTTTATTAAATCATTGAAACAGACCCGAATACAGATGGTGCCCTTGTGATATTACTAGATAAATAAACACCATCAGAGTACTGTTATTATAGAAAAAAATTAACTTTCTGTATTTGGACTGAACAGCAAAATACTTTCAAGAATGTATAGAATTCACTTAATCCTGTGTGTAACAAATGCCAGATTTCTTTATCAGTTAATCCTGAATCCAACAGATGATGTGATATGCAATTAAAGTTCGGATTTCAGTGAACAAGTGTGCTTGTCCTTGAAATGATCCTTGCACTGATTATTGCAAGTTGCTTTCATTCAAATTAAAAGAACAGATAAAATTGCATCCTCAAAGCTTGTAAGATCAAAAAGGCAAGTATTCGGTAACTGTGTACATACAAGTTAACTGCACTGAAAAAGCTCATGCACCTAAACGAGGAAAACACTTGCTGTTCTTTAAAGCAAAAGCTTCTAAAATCTCTGGGACTTGCATTGCAAACCACAGTGTCGTGGTTTAGGGCCAGTGCATAACTGAGCACCATGATGCCCCAAAAAAGGGCTAGTCAAAATAAGGACTGGGAGGGCTTCTCACCACTTAAACAGGTCACAGGCAAAAGACAGACTTATCATGAGGAATAAAAAACAAAACAATTTTGTTACCGACATCAGAGTAGAACAATGGGAGATACAACCAGATCTTAAAATCAAAACACCTTCCCCCTACCCCTCCCTTCTTCCCGGGCTCAGCTTTCGTTCCCGGTTCCTTCACTTTCCCCCTCCCTCTTTGCCTTGAGGGGCAGGGGGATGGGAGTGGGGGTTGCAGTCGGTTTTCCTGACGCGCCACGTGCTTCTTAGGAGAAGGGAAAAAAAAACTCATCCCAGTGTCTCTCTCTTCTTCCACGTGGCCC